GGCTAGCCTGTGGGGAAGGAAGAGTTAGGACATAATGGGAAAGCCAGATGCTCAAATCCTGAGCAGACCCATGCTGACCTTGAGCAAAAGCATTAAATTGAATGCAGCGTTTGGAGTTTTGATTATTACACTGAACTAGACTGACCTTTCTCTTTCTTTTCTTAACTTTTTATTATGGAAAATTTTAAACATATATCAATGTAAGAAAATTAGAATAATGAACCCCCATGTAGCCATCACCCAGCTTCAGCAATTGTCAACTCATGGCCAAACATTTTCATCTCTTCCCATGTCTATTTCTTCCCCCTACTAAATTCTAATGAAGCAAATCTCAGGCATTTTATTATTTTATCAATAATTAAGTATATTTCTGTACAAAGTAAGGACTCTTTTAACATGCAATAGTGCTGTTATCACACCTTAAGAAATTAATAATGGTTTCTCAGTATCATCAAATATCTAATCAATGTTCATGTTTCCTCAATTGTCTTATAATGTCTTTACACAGTTGATTTGTTTGACTCTGAATCCAAAGCTTCACATGTTTGATGTGTTTCTTAAAATCTCTTAATCTGCAATGTATTTGTTGCAGATACTGGGTCATGTGTGCTTAGCACTTTGTGTTTTCTGAACTTATCCAATTGCATCTCCACAGTGTTATTTGCCATGTTCCTTTATCTCCTGTATTTCCTGTAAAGTCGGATTTAGATCTAGAGCTTCGATTAAATTCATGTTTGATTCTTTTTTTTTTTTTTTTTGGTAAGACTTCTGCATAGGTGGTTTTGTGTACTTCCTATTGCATCACCTCAGGAGACATTTAATGTCTGGTTGTCTCTCTTTCAGTGGTGCTAAGATTGATCCGTGTGTTATGGTGTTGTCAGCTCCATGTAATGATTATACATTTTCCTATTGGCTTTTTGCATGATATTAACAGCCCTTGATGATCATTGGCGAGGTCCATTACTATACTAGAATTGCAAAATAGTGATATTCTATCACTCCCTTCTTCATTTATTAGCTTCTCCAAAGAAGAACTTCCAATCCTTAAATATTTGATTATGGAACTGAGCAGGAAATACGCTTTATTCTTTGCCTTTGTTTCCCAGTTTTCAGAATAACAAGTTGGTTCTTCAGCATCCTCCAAAAGTGATCTATAAGTTGGTATTTTTTTTTCCCAAATACCATATGAATTCATGATTTTAACATTTTTGCTGTTCTTCAATTTATTACAATTATTATTCCTTTTGATATTCACATTTTTCCATCTTTGACCAATGGAATCCTTTTTTTTTTTGTCTTTTTCCGTGTCCGGCAACGGGATCGCAACCCTCAGTGTTGCCCCCGCGCCTCGCTCAGCCAGTGAGCGGGAACCGGTCTGCATGTGGGATCCGAACCCTCGAGCGGGAGCGCCGCCGCGCTTCCCAAGCGGCGCACTATCCAGTGCGCCACCGGGCCAGCCCCAATGGAATCCTTTTGAATTTGGCTCCTGTGCACTGAACTTTTAAAAACCAAAACAAAAAGACTATTTACTTTTGTTTATGTTTTCCTTAAAGTGGTAGAAAAAATATTGGGCCCCCTAAAGTTACATTTAGGAGTGGACAAAGACTAATTCAAGTAAGTGGGTTTGAAGTCTCTATGAGAGAGAGAATAAAATTATTTATGATTGCACTCCATGTGGACTTGGCAAATGAAAGACTCCTGACTATTGCTGCAGCTACTGATAACATTTTGCTTTCCCATATGAGAAGGCTTTGTGAAGTCTGTAAGTCTTTTACCCTGAACCAACCAGGTATAAATCTACTCTTCCCAAATGAGTGTACAGTGTAGTTTGGAAGATAGCACTGTGTTAGTTAGAATCAGGTATGCTGCTAGTGACAGAAACTTCAAAATAATAGGCGCTTAGAATAAAAATTTATTATTTCTCTTTATGTTAAAAAAGGTGATCCAGGACTGGTACAGATGATCCATGGTTATCAAGACCTCAGGCTCTTTCTTTCTTACACTCCATTGTCCTTAACATGCTATTTTTACCTCATGGTATGAGATAGCTGCTCTAGCTCCAACCATCACCTCAACATTCTAGTCAGCAGGAAGGAGGGAAAAGGGAAGAAAAAGGGTATGATGACTTTCACTGAGAACATTTCCTGAGCATTGTGTGCACCACTTCTGCCATGTTCTGTTGCATAAAAAACAGTCTTATGAATATACTTAGCTATATGGAAGGCTGAAAAATGTCATCTTTATTCTGGCTGGCCAGATGCCCAGACAAGGAATCAGCTACCCCAGGAAGAAGGGGAGAGTAGCTATTCGGAGAAAACAGCAATCCCTGCCTCAAGCCCTTTATTCCTATCCAGTACGTGCCATCTCCACTTACACTGAGATTTCTTGGTTATCAACTTTATGGTAGAAGTAATTCTCATACACCGTACTTCAACTATGTGTAACTCTGAAGCAAGATACATGACTAGCTCTCACCGTTCACAGGGTGCATGGAATTCAGTCCTCAAAAGGACCCCTGCATGGAGGCTAAAGATCAGAGAGGGCAAGCAGCTTGCTCAAAGGAAAACAGCTTAGTAAGTGACAGAGTTGTGATTCCAACACAAGTTTGTTTTCAAAGCCTGTGCATGTGCTTTGTTCGTTATGCCACTCTGAAGGACTCACTTATTTTCTGCCCTTCCTCAAAATTTTAGGGTAAAAAGGCAATCATCTACAGGTAGTATGAGGAAACTTCTATGGGCTTTAGTTTACATTTTGAAAAATAATAAACTTCAATATATTTCTTCTAAGTGTTTTATGCTCATTTTCTTTTTCTTAAACATCCTTTGCATGTGCTGAGCACTGTGATGGCTGCTGAGAACATAACAGTGAGCAAAACTACACACAGTTGTCACCGTCATAGGGCTTCTAGAGTAGTTGAGGAGACAAACATGAATCCAAAATCACCCTCCAAAGTGTACAATTACAACCATCATAGGGAGTACAAAGAGAAAGTGGGAAGGTGCCATGTGTGTATAATAGGTGGATTTGACTTAGGAAAGCCAGGATGGCTTCCCTGAGGAAGTGACACATAGGCTGAGACTTGTAGTGTAATTTAAAGTTGACCAGGAAAAGAAGGGGAGAGGAGATGTTTTCAGGCAGAATGAGCAACACGTGCCAAGTGTCGTGAAGGGCATGCATGGGGGGAAAGGGACAGATAGAATGCTGAGTGGGAACAAGTGAGTGAGGAATGAGATGAGGCTGGAAAAAAAGCCAGAGAGGAGCCCTACAGTGCACTATTATTCCCTTTCACAGAGGGAAAAATTGAGGCTCACTGCTGTTGAGTAATTAGCCTGCAGTCTCACAGTAAGTTAGGTAGTGGAGCCAAAATTCAAACTGTGGTGGGTAGAATAATGGTCCTGCCTAAAGATGTCCATGTCCCAATCCCCAGAACCTGTGAATATGTCAGGTTACATGGCAAAGGGAAATTAAGGTAGCAAACAGAATTAGGTTGCTAATCAGCTGTCCTTATAATAGGGGGAATTGCCCTAGATTATCCTAGGTTGAGCAGGCCCCATAAAATCAAAATTGTCCTTAAATATGGAAGAGGGAGGCAGAAGAAGAGGTTACACTGAGATGGAGTAAGCAGGACTTGACTTGTTATTGTTGGTTGTGAAGATGCAGAAAGAGATTCAAGCCCCAAACAATGTAGTGGCTTCCAGAAGCAGGAAAGGGCAAGGAAACAACAGATTCTCCCCTAAAGATCCTCCAGAAAGGATCACAGCCCTGCTGACATCTTGATTTTAGCCCAGTGAGACCCATTTTGGACTTCTGGACTACAGAATTACAAGATAATAAATTCGTGTTACTTTGACCCACTAGGTGTGCAGCAATTTGGTACAGCGGCAACAGGAAACATACACAAACTTGCCACAGTGGCTCCACAGCCCATGTCCCTATTCTTTGTGCTACATGTCTTAACTGATGGATGGGCTAAAGCAGGGTCTATAAAGATTAAACTCTAATCCTTAATATAATTCTGAGTCTTCAAATTTCATTTCCAAACCATATGGCAAAGGGTATACATATTTTTTACACATGCCTCTTAGTATTGTGAATTTTGAAAGGATGTGGTTATGGCCTTTGACATCAGAGGAGGAGCCCCGCAGTGTTGGCTGCACGTTGATAGACAGATAACACTGGAGGCAAGCTGCCTTTGAGCAGCTCTGAAAATCAACCACCTCCCCTCCACATTCCTTGCCCCGAAGCTCTTTCCTCTGGCTCTGCTCAGGGGTGATGCCCACGGAGCATCACTTTTCAAGAATTGGATCATGAACAACTTTATCCTCTTGGAAGAACAGCTAATCAAGAAATCTCAACAGAAGAGAAGGACTTCTCCCTCGAACTTTAAAGTCCGCTTCTTTGTTTTAACCAAAGCCAGCCTGGCATACTTTGAGGATCGCCATGGGGTATGCGAGCAATTTCTTTTGTCTTTTTTTTTATATATTATTTTATATTCAGATGGGGGCTGACTCAGAAAGATATATGGGGAATAAAATAGAACACAGGGAACACAACCATGCTAGTTAGAATAACCTAGAACGTACCATAATCGTAGTCAGAGGAGAATGTGAAGAGGAGTCAAGAGGTGAGGTGATTGTATCAGGCAATGTTAATTCTAAAAACTGTAAGCTTAACATTTATCAGCTTTTTTCCTCCTGCAAGGTTAAGTTTAATTTTTTAAATTATAATATTTTATGTGGCAAATATTATAATCAGATAGAACTTGAACTTCATGTGAAATATACTACGTTTTATGGGACATAGATTAATAAAATAGTAGCAGTCAGGACCTACGGGATGATCTAGCCCAGTTTCCTTTTTCTTTATTCTTTTATTTTAACATTTACGTGTGCAAATTTTGGGGTACAGTGTGTTATTTCAATACATACTCATACTGCACAATGATTCACTTAGGATTGATGACATAGTTTTGTACCTGTTTGTCCACCACTGTTGATCTAGCCCAGTTTCCTTTTTCTTTATTCTTTTATTTTAACATTTACGTGTGCAAATTTTTGGGTACAGTGTGTTATTTCAATACATACTCATACTGCACAATGATTCACTTAGGATTGATGACATAGTTTTGTACCTGTTCGTCCACCACTGCGTAAGTGGTGGGTCCGTTGTTAACATTTTTTATGAATTCAACTCTATTTGTCTCGATGGTTATCAACCATCCAACATCTTGGAGTAATATTCCCCAGGCATTTAATGGTCTAAAAGTTGCAAGGCACAATGTTAAACCTCTTCATCCCTTGGAAAACTTCCCAGGAGACTAGTGTTACTCAAGCACAAAGTGTTCTGCAGTGGTTCTCATCCAGAATATTATGGCTGCTTAGTTAGATCAGTCTTTTTACATATCTAAAGATATTCTCGTATTTTGTAGCATCAATAATAACAGAAGCAACATGAGTAAATGTAACAATGTAGTTTGGTAGAAAAGCACTAGACAAGGTGTCAGAAGATCAAACTCTGCTTCTCGCTAGGTATGTGAGCCTGAACAAATGTCCACCTCCTGCCTCAGGTTCTTTCTTTATAAAATGAAATGGCTGGAAATAATGACCTACAAGATCCCTTCCTTCTTTAAAAAATCCTTTGTTTCTATGCAGTCGCATCTGTTTAGCCCTTCTTGGCAATTTTTCAAAGGATATTTAATTACTTACTATTTTATTATACTGTTTTTACATCATTAGAGAGGTAGGGCAGGGATTATCACTTACATTTTACTGAAGAGTAAATTATATTAGGTACATGATGGTCACTTGGAAACAAAGGTGCTCAAGTTCTTTGCTGGAGTCTGACTTCGTGGTGTAGGCATGAGTTTGGAGTCTTTGGAGACTCAGGCTTTGAAGCATTTAAGGAAATGGAGTTCTCAAGGAGGTCAGGCTGAATATGGAGACTACAGATGCCTGGCCTTTTTGAGTTGTAGGTAAAATAATGCTGACTCTTTTTTAGAAGTGAAAAGAATTGATTATCTTCAGCAGACCCTTACTGATAACAATTGACCAATCCATCAGAAGGCAAATGGAATCACTATGTGCAAGTCCTCTTTGGTAGGTGGCCAGGAGCCAAATTTTGAACTTGGGAGATTCATCATACAGTGCTGATAAATGACATAGCATCAGTCATTTTATTGTGTGTGAATGGGACATTTAAAGTTCTTGTTTCATATTGAAAGAGCAGTCACTTGCCTTTAAATATTTTTTCAAAGCCCATTTTACAGCCTTCACTAATTTGTTTTCCTAACTCAACATAGCATCATCTTATTTAGTTCATACTGATAATTCCTGAGCAGCATTGCTGTTTGTGAACTGTTTGTGAATTCAGTATAATATTATTTGCAAATAATCACACAACCAAATGGTCTTGATTCAGAATTTCATTGGTTGTAATTTGCATGTAGACAATGTTGTAAAATCATGCCACTTCTTTATTTGGCATTATAAAAAACTCCAGGACAATTAATTCATTCTGGGGAGCTGTTGGCTATAGTTTCTAATGTTTTCATGTGGAGTATAAAAGATATATGCACAAACATCAAATTTTTTGTTTTCTAATGCCTATGGTTTATATTCATAAATAACATTTTTAAAAAGTGTTTTTAAAAATATTATAGAAATTAGTTAGAAATGTATCCAAGGTCACTGAGAAAGGTGATATGTGAATTATTATTGTTCATGCCCTACATATTTACACTGTTTAGGACTATCAATTTGCACACAAGGTACATCATACATCACTCATAAATAAATAGCATTACACTTATGAGGAACATTTTTATTTTTAAATTAAAGCCTCAGTCTTCTCATCTGTAAAATGGGTGTGATAGTAGTACCCTTTTCAAGGGAAAAATGGCAAAGACTCAGAGAGATAATGTAGTTAGGCTGAACTATTTGGAATTACCATTTGACAGATCAAAAACAGTCAGACATTGGCAAGTTTGTATAGTTCAACTTAATATATAAAGTGCTCAGCACAGGACCTGTCACCTAGTGAGCTCCTAGTAAAAATTACCCACTGTTTGTATCATTTTCACATCTCTGAAGAAGCTAGCAGGGTGGTATAATATATTTATTTTCAAACAATGGTAGATATTAAAGGATTCTTCAAAGTCAGGCTAAGATCGGATTCCTGGATTTCTTCTACTTTGTGGCTAAATACACATTTATAATAATAAACACAGGCATAGTGAGCTGTGTGGTGATGGGCCAGCCATTGCCCTGCTTGGGGTGTCAGCTACTTTTTCCCTTTTCTCATATATAAAATTATGCTCCTTGCAGCTCTAATATTCTGTGAATTTATATCATCATATAAAAAATAACCCTTCCACATACTCAAGCACAAATTCTGTAATTCGGCAAATTAAGTACATTTATTCTAACTTTAAATATCCATGCCTATTGTCATTATAATACTAATTGAATGAGCCTTTTATTTTAACATGGATTTATTCTGGTGTCAAATGCCTATTTCCCCTACTGAGATGTGCAAGTGTTTTCTGAGGGGTCAGGAAGTGCCTTCGTTCTGTTGCAGTGGTGGGCCAGAAAAAAACAGAGTTGGCAGGTGGCCGCATGCAGGCAGCCATGATTTCAGATGCTCCCCTGTGCCTGCCACTTTTCTTGCAGAGTGGTCCTTGATGCCTGAAATTCTTTAACAGAAGACAATGAGAGATAAGCACTCCGTGGTGTGCTGATAAGTGCTTAACAACCACTGTGACAGTGGTACAGTGGGGATGGAGGTGGGGAGCCTTGATTTGGTGTTTGCTCAATGAGAGATAAGCACTCCGTGGTGTGCTGATAAGTGCTTAACAACCACTGTGACAGTGGTGCAGTGGGGATGGAGGTGGGGAGCCTTGATTTGGTGTTTGCTGATTTCTCTGGTATAAGTACTCCCATCATGGCCCATTTCAAAATACCAATGTGATGTCTACTGGCTCACAAATTCTTGAAAATTTAGCAGTTAGCTCTGATGGGCCAGTACAAGCTGAGTCCAGCACACCGCTTAAGGTTTAAGTACAAAAGTACAAAAAAATTTCTGGAGAGGTAGGTATCAACCAAGCGACATACTTAGTTGCACATGACTGATATCAGATCCTTTTCTGATAAAAATGGAGAGCCTCAGACACTTTGCGTAAGCACTGGATGGAAGAGGCAGCACAGATCAGTGAGGGCTGTGTAGCCGACAAGAGCTGGATTCAAATGCTGTGTCTATCACTTTCCTGATGTGGGATCTCAGGCAAGACATTTCACTTCTGTAAGCCTGTTTCCTATTTGTAAAGTAAGGAGCCCAGTGTTACCTACCTCAAGAGATGCTGAGTATTTCATGAGAAAAGTTTGTTATAAGCCTCATACTAACTGCTACATGGTAGGGTGAATATTATTCACAATTTTGCCCAAGTACTACCTTGATTTTCTGAAAGGCCCTTGGTAGAACTAGAAAGGTTTCCCTATTTTAATGGCTCTTCATGTTAGGGATCAAGTTTGCTGTACTCCCCATGGAGTGGGAGCCATTACCATTTACATGGGAAAGGATAAATGTCAAGATCACCATTTCAGTCAATGTCTGGGTGAGGTCTCCACTCCTCATGGCCCTTTTCCTTTACCTGCAGTCTGATCTAGCAGCAGAACTGTCTCCTGCAGCATGCCTTCTTCCTAATTTAAAAAAGGCAGGTGGGGAGATAGTCCCCTTTCCTTGCTTTTGGAGCATTATTTCACAGCCCTCAAAAATACAGCTTCTGGTATCAGACAGATCTGAGCCAAAGACCAGCTCGACCACTTGAGTTGCATGTCTTTGTGTAAATTTGCATAATGCTGTGTGATCCTCTAAAAAGCTATTTACATTTTTTTAAATGATTAAACAGTCCTTCTTGATCTTGTTTCTTTTTAATGAGGAGGTCACCATTATTCTAATAATAATAAAATAGTAACTAACATTTACTGAGCACTTTCTGTGTGTCGAACACTGTGCTGTGGATTCTTTCATCTAAACCTTATAACCATCTTCTAAATTAGGAACTATTATTACCCCAATTTATCGATCAGGAAACTGAGGCAAAGAGAGTTTAAATAGTTTGCCTGAGGTCCCATATGTCTCCAGAGTCTACACAGCTCACTGATAAATGGTGCTGATTACTATTAGCAGTTGTTACTTGTAGATAATTGGGGACTCCATTGAGTTATTACAAAGTGTGCGGTGCATTCCTGCTCTGACGTCCTCAATGTAAAGGGCAGGCCTGAAAATCAGTAGCCCATACCACCTGGGTCTTCCACAATGAAGTATGTTATGAGGGCTCTCATTTCCACATATGCTCCGGAACAAATCTTTATCTTCATTCACCTCAGTGAGCCCCACTATGTGTCCAAAAAGAAAGGACAGTCTTGGCAACCTTTGACTTCTAAAGGTT